AGGATTTTTCTCTTCCCTCGCCTGAGGCATAATGACCCCAGGTTAAATCTCCACTAGTCATCTCACTAATGAGAGAGCAGGCCCAAGGTCATAGAGTAATACAGCATGGAAACAGATCCTTCGGCCCAAACTGGTCCATGCTGACCATCGTGCCCACTCAGCTAGTTCCAATTGCCTGCATTTGGTCAATATCCCTCTAAACTATTCCCATCCATGTAACTATCCAAATATTTTTTGAATGTTGCTATTGTACCTGCCTCAACCACTTTCTCTGGCAGCCCATTCCATATATGCACCATTCTCTGCGTGAAGAAGTTGCCTCTCAGGTCCTTCTTAAATCTTTCCCCTGTCACCTTAAACCTATGCCCTCTAGTTTTCACTTCCCCATCCATGGGAAAAAGACTATATACATTCATCCTTTCTATGCCCCTCATGATTTTATAAACCTCAATAAGGTCACCCCTCATTTTCCTATGTTCCAAGGAATAAAGTCCTATCTCAGCCAAGCTCTCCCTATAACTCAGGCCTACTAGTCCTGGCAACATCCTCATAAATCTTCTTTGCACACTTTCCAGTTTAACTATGTATTTCCAATAACAGGATGGCATAACATCCCAACTCCTATACTCAATGCCTTGACCGATGAAGGCCAGCATGCTAAATGTGTTCTTCACCACCCTGTCCACCTGTGATGCCGCTTTCAATGAACTATGTACTTGTACTCCTAGGTCCCTCTGTTCCACAACACTCCTCAGGACCTTACCATTTGCTGCTTTGACTTTCCAAATTGCAACACCTGACACTTATCTGTATTGAATTGCATTTGCCAATCCTCATCTCACTTCCCCATCTGATCAAGATCCCTTTGTAATTTTTGATAACCTTTCTTGCTATCAATACCTCCTAATTTTGTATCATCCGCAAACTTACTAATCCTGCCTTGTACTTCACATCCAGATCATAAATAACAAATAACAAAGATCCCAGCACTGACCCCTGTGGCACACCACTAATCACAGGCCTCCAGTCTGAAAAACAACCTTCATCCATCACTGTTTGCTTCCTACCATCGAGCCAATTTTGAATCTAATTAGCTGGATCCTCTGCGACCTAATCTTCATGACTAGCCTGCCATACAGGACCTTGTCAACGGCCTTACTAAAGTCCTTATAGACAACATCTGCTGCCCTACCCTCATCTATCCTCTTGATTACCTCTTCGGAAAACTCTAAAAGATTTGTCAGACATAACTTCTCACTCACAAATCCATGCTTTCACTAATCAGACCTTGACTATCCAAATGATGGTTGATCCTGTCCCTTAGTATCCTCTCCAATAACTTGCCAACCGCTGATGTCAGGCTCACTGGCCTGTAGTTTCCTGACTTGTCTTTACTACATTTCTTAAACAATAGAACAATATTAGCCACCTTCCAGTCTTCCGGAACTTCACCAGTGGTTAAAGATGAAGCAAAAATCTCTGCAAGGGCCTCTGCAATTTCTTCCCTAGCCACCCACAATGTCCAAGGATAGACTTGATCAGACCCAGGGGCTTTATCCACCTTAACACGATCTAAGGCTACGAACACCTCCTCTCTGGTAATATGTATGCAGTCCAAGACATCCCCATTTGTTTCGCTTATTTCCTTAGCATCCATGATTCTCTCCTCAGTAAACACTGAGAAGACATATTCATTAAAAATCTCCCCCAACTCCTGTGGCTCCACACATTGACGGCCATGCTGATCTTTAAGAGGACCTATTCTCTCCCTGGCCACCCTTTTACACTTAATATAGTTACAGAATCTCTTGGGATTATCTTTAACTTATCTGCCAGATCCATCTCATACCATCTTTTTGCTCTTCTGAATTCCCTGTTATGTGTGCTCCTACACTTTTTATAGTCATCTAGGAATTCACTTGAGCCCGATAGCTTAAACACAATATATGCTTTCTTCTTTTTCCTGACCAGAGTCTCAATATCCCTCGTCAGCCAGGGATCCCTAAACCTGCCAGCTTTTCCCTTCACTGTAACAGGGACATACTGTCCCTGTACTTTTGATATCACACTTTTAAAAGCCTCCCATTTGCCAGTCGTTTCTTTTCCTTCTAACAGATTCATTCAATAGACTGCTGCTAGATCCTGCCTAATGGCCACTAAATTGGCCCTGCTCCAGTTTAGCACCTTAACCTGTGGACCTGTTCTATCTTTTTCCATAACTATGTTAAACTAAGAGAGTTATGGTCACTGGACCCAAAGTGCTCTCCAACTGACACTTAGTCACTTGCCTGACCTCGTTTCCTAAGAGGAGGTCAAGTGTTGCACCCTCCTGAGTAGGGCCCTCTAATTATTGATTTAGGAAACTTCCTTGGATACATTTGACAAATTCCACCCATCTGGGCCTTTTACACTCTGGGTGGCCCTGTCAATACAGGGGAAATTAAAATCTCCAACCAATACCACTCTGTTATTCCTAAAGGTATCTGCAATCTCTCTACACGCCTGTCCTCTAGTACCTGCTGGTTATTTGGGGGGGTCTATAATACAGTCCCGACAGAGTGACCATCCCCTTCCTGTTTCTAAGTTCTAACCATATGGTCTCATTTGATGACCCCTTAAGAATATCCTCTCTAAACACTGTTGTTATGTCCTCCCTTATCAAAAGGCAACTCCCCCTCCTTGCTTACTTGTACTTCTGTCACGTGTGTAGCTTCTGTATCCTGGAACATTGAGCTGCCAATTGTGCCCTTCTCTTAGCCATGTTTCTGTTATGGCTATAATATCCCAGTTCCAGAGCCAATCCATGCTCTGAGCTCATCTGCCTTGCTAGTCAGGCCTCGTGCGTTGAAATAAATGCACTTTAAACCAGAAGTCTTTTCCCTCCCTTTACTGTGCCCCTGGCTATCCTGAATAGTAATCTTACTCTCGATGGCTAATGTATTTTCACCTGACTTTTCGATGGCCCCTCTTTTATTCAGAATCCCACACCTCTGCCAAATTAGTTTAAGCTCCTGCTAGGGTTATGGTGACTTTACCTTTACCTATATATTTAAACATCAATATTGGAATTTGGATTTCAAAATAGTTGTATGTTGGTTTTGGTTACTTTTTGTGAAGGGTTTTCTTCAAAATAAAATGACAAAGTCAGAGAGTTCTTCGAAAACAAAGTATACATTCGGAGAATAGGTGACTGCAAACTCCTATGGTGTTAATGGAAAGATGTTTATATAGTGTTATGTTTACGACAGGTAAAGTAGATATGTAAGATTATTAGTTTAGCATTCAGTTTAAAAGAATCTACAATGGGCATTTTTAAAAAATGAGATAATAAGCAAGGTTTTGCATTTAGTTCAGACGACACCAGTGTTGGGTTTCGAAGCCAGTTTAATTTCTCTTTGCAAAAAATTTGGGGCAGTTCAGGGAATATGCTACCTCAGCAGAAGAGCACATTGTGAAACTTACAAACCAATAGGTGTGGTTAGAAATATGCAGTTTATTAGAAGTGTGAAGATTTAAGTCCACAGTTTTGTGAATAGCTCATTTTGGTAGATTTGGAAAGGACTCACTGACCTGGCTCCATAGTGTATGAGAAAGACCTGGAAGGCATCAGTTGAGTAGAACTCAAAAGAGTTAAAATATGGGGTGTAATTTCTCTGGACTTGAGAAAAGACTGGCAGCCAAAAAAGGCAATCCCAAACCCTTCTGTAGGTATATAAATAATAAGAGTGGTAAATTAAAGCGAGGCCAAAACGTCTCTCATATAAGGGGCATGGCTGAGGTGGTAAATGAACACTTTGCATCTGTCTTTACCAAACAGGGTGATGGTACCAAGACCAAGAAGAAACTCTGTCACTAGGAGGGTTCAAAACTGATAAGGAAAAGGGGTTGGAAAGACCAATTGTATTTAGAGTTGTCAAAGCTCTGGGACTGTGTGATATGCATCCAAACGTTTTTGAAGCAAGGGAGAGTGGAAATTTCAAGAGTGCTGGCTGTATTCTTTCAGTCTTCCCTTGACTTAGGAGAGGTGCCAGAAGACTGGAGAATTGCAAACACTTTGGTATTGTCCCTGGAAACATTGAATACAAAATTGGCAGGTGATAGGAAACAGAATAATGATCAATAGATATTTTTCAGGCTGGAGAAAGGTTTGTAGTGGTGAACCCAGGGGTTGGTACTGGGACCCATGCTCTTCCTGATTTATATTAATGATCTGGATCTTGGGTTACAGGAGGTAATTTTAAAACTTGCTGATGACACCAAACTTGGAAGAGTTAGAAACTGTGAGGAGAACAATGTTGAGCTCCAAGAGGGTGTAGACAAGTTGGTGGAGTTGGCAGGCAGATAGCAGAGGAAGTTCAATGGAAAGAAGTGTGAGGTGATGCAGTTTGGTGGGAGAATGCTTTATTACTTCCTATCTGGATCTTCCATACTCCTCTTGGTTCTCAATTGTATTATCAACCTGACATGACACCTGTCATAAGCAGACTTTCTCCTTATTTTAATTTCTATCTTCCACTGACACTTGATCCATTTGCCTCACTCATTTCCAACAAACAGGTCCAACAGTGCAATCTAGCCATCAACAATATCCCAGTGTATATTTGTATATTTGAAGTCCCCATTAACTATAACGTTGCCACCTGTAATTTCGCTGCAGGTTTGTTACTCCATAACCTTCCCACTAGTTGACGAAATGTAGCCTGCACTTTGGGGCTCATGTCCGACCTGCTCCAGAAGTGTGTAATGACAAATCTGAACAAATTGCTGGTTGTAGTCTATAGATATTTTAATCAATGTAATTGCAACCGTTATGTTCTTTAGCTCTAACTGAAATGCCTCGTCCCACTTGTAACAGTCCTCTCATGTCTCACAGAATAACTGACTACACATAACGTAATCGATAACCTTAAAATGAATAAAACAATAATTATATCTCAGCCAATGAGGTTGTGTTGATTTGATGAACGATTCTCGTCTCCTCCTCCTCACCAGCTGAACGCTCCTGTTCCGCCATTTTGTTCTCGGCGCGTGGGCAAGTTTGTGATTGTTTGAAGATGGCTGCCGCTGCGGTCGAGGATGGAGAGTCAGACAGATAGACAGGGGCTAGTGAGAGGAGGAGGCGGAGGAAGAAGAAGAAGAAGAAGAAGATGATGAAGATGAATGGGTGAGGATGTGTCATGGCGATGGTACGGAGCGGCTGGGTCCGGGCCCGGCGGGTGATGGTCCAAATGCCGGACTCTGTTGGTGAGCTTCGCCGTCTTTGTGACTCTCCTGGGGCTGACGTTCTTCTCTCTGGGCAGGGGATCGGTGAATGAACGACTCCTGGTGACTTATGGCGGGGAGGGGAGTGAGACTGAGGGGTTTCGAGCTGCTGAAACAGGGCGTGGGACCGAACCCAAGGTGGGGATCTTGCCTGAAGGCCGCGGTTGGTGCCGGGTATGGATAGGCCAGAGATGTGCCCGCAGTGAGTAACAAAGATTTTGTAAAATCCGTATTTAATGCGTTGCACTGCAACCCAGTGTTTGTCATCCGAGAGTGTTAAATCTAAAATATTAATTCTGAAACTTTTAGTGTGTCCACGTGGCTAACAGATATAACTCGGATAGATGCAATATGACACTAAAATAAAACGAAGAACAGTGTATGCTGAAGATCTGAAACAGCCACAAAAATTGCTAGAGAAACTCAGCTCTGGCAGCATCTGTGGATGGAAAACAGGTAACGTTTTGAGTCTGGAGATCCTCCTTCAGGAGTGATAGTTAGGAAAATCTGGTATTTATGCTGATGAAGTAGTGTTGAGGGTGGGGTGGAAAGATGTGAATGGATAGGTGGAGATGGAGAAAGAATGCTAGGCAGACAAAAGGATGGTTTGATATTAAGCCAGGGAAAGAGAGAAGCTGAGAATGGGGATCATGAGTAGGTGAAAATTGGTTGGCTGTCCTAGAAGCACCTCATGTCATTCCAGGGGTTAGGGGCTGAGGGTGGAGAGGTGGGTAAAGGACATGGAAGGTGGTGCTTGGGCTGTAAAATTATTGAACTTGGTATTGAATCCTGAATACTGTAGGATCCCCAAGGGGAAGATGAAATGTTCTTCCAGCTTGCATTGAGCCATACTGGAGCACTGCAGCAGGATTCAGTCAGATGTTGGCCAGGGAACTGGGTGGATTGGGTGGCAACTGGAAGCTCAGGGTCATTTTTACAGACAGAACATAGGTGTTCTGCAAAGCGGTCACCCAGTCTACATTTTGTCTCCCTGATGTACAGTGGACTTCATTGCGAGCAGCAAATACGGTTGACTAGATGGAGCGAAGTGTAGGTAAATCACTGATTCGGGTCAAAGGCATCTCTGGAGCCTTGGATAGTGGGGAGAAAAGAGTTTAATGTCAGTGTTGCACATCCTACGATGGGAAACTGCCAAGGGGGTGTAGGGAGTGGAGAAGTGGACCAGGGTGTCCTAGAGAGAATGGCTCCTGCAAAATGCTGACAACGTAAAGGAATATGTGTTTGGTGGTGGTATCTTGTAGCGGAAATGGCAGCTTATCCTTTGGTTGCAGATGCTGGTGGGTGGGCTGCCATATTTAGGGGATTTTATCTTCATATTTGCCGGATTTGTATGTTTTAATTTTCTTTACATACTTTTTCTGTTCACAGTTTTCTATTAAAACTGTGTTCCGAGTAAGGGTCACTGGACCTGAAATGTTAATTCTGATTTCTCTTCGCAGATGCTGCTAGACTTGCTGAGCTTTTTTAGCTATTTCTGTTTTTGTTTCTGTTTAACAGCATCCACAGTTCTTTCATCTTTTTAGAAAAACTATGAATGTTTGTTTTGGATTGTGGGCTTTAATTTAGTTAAATCTACTTAAATTATTAGTGTGTAAAGTAGTTCATGAATTGCGAAGGCAGTGAGTTTTTTTTAACTAAAATTGTAGTTATAACCAAACCAGCGTCAAGCATTATGGGTTCTGAGGAAGGGTCACCGGACCCAAAACGTTAACTCTGTTTTCTCCTCCACAGATGCTGTCAGACCTGCTGAGCTTTTCCAGCAACTTTGTTCTTGTTTCAGCATTATCTACCTGACATGACACCTGTCGTAAGCATACTTTGTCTTCATTTTAACTTCTGTCTCCCATTGACTCTTGATCCCTTTGCCAATTCATTTCCAAGAACCAGGTCTAACAGTACAATCTATCCACTACCAATATCTATTTGGGTAACTGAAGTACTCCATTAACTATAATATTGGTATCTGTCTGTAACTTCCTTGTGGATTTGTTACTCCACGGTCTTCCTAGTAGTTGGCGAAATATGCTGTTGGCCAGCATTGCTCTAATAACCACATTCATGTATGTTCCATATGACTAATCTCTCTTGGTATTGCACCAAATTAACAATTTTAACTTAACCCACCTGACAACAAACTGACTAGATCAAATCTGGTCTATCCAGTATTAACATAGTCAGGTCTTTTGTTGATCAGCACAGATACAATGGGCCAAATACACTGTGAATGTGCTTTAAATGTTTCAGTCTATTAAATGGGAAAGTAACCTGGCAGTTATGTTAAAATCACTCGTGTTAATTTAGTGTGAGGTAGAGGATGTGGTAGTGATCTGATAGGCTTTGATGGAAGTTATTAAAAACTGCCCTTGTTTTTATAAATTTAAACTCACTCCATTCATTTATTTAAACATAAATTGTCAAGGACACTAATCAGGAGATGCAAAACTTGAGTAATTACGGTAGACTTCTCATTATTGCATATCCAAACTTTAGTGACTTCATAGTCCTTGCATTACTGAAGAGTCAGATGCAGATTCATTATGACCACTTGTAGAACTGACAGTTCATGTTTTCCGTTTTGGGCGTCAATCTACAATTGTGCCGCATTTGGTCTGATTGGGCATGTTGGATATTGCAAGCTTGGCAGATTGCCCTCAACCTGCTGGGCCAGGTGTGTTTGGAATTGAATTTTCCCTGAAAGTGGATATGAATTAAATTGAGTGTTCTAAAGATGGATTAGTGGACCCAAAATGTTAATTTTGTTTTCTCTCCTGAGATGCTGCTAGACCTGCTGAGTTTCTCGAGAAATTTTTTTTTTTCTGTTTCAGGTTTACAGCATCTGCAGTTCTTTGTTTTATTTTATGATTTCAACTAATGTTAATAATGTTCATTAAAAGGGTTGAGCAGATGCAACTGTACTGTTTCAATGTTAAATATTTGCCAAATTTTGTTTGAAGTTGTTATTTAGAATTTATAGCTAGTGATTTTAATGCAGTTTGTAAGAGTTTAATTCTATAATTCTGTTTTCAAAATTAAATTTGCCACAGTCAAGTATATCAACTACTTTCTATCAACCGTCAGACTAGAGGAATTGATATAGTGCGAATGTTAACAGGAACCCTCCAGTCTTAAGACTGACTTGTGAAATGTAACAAGTTTGCATCATACATGGAGGGGAAATAAAATGGAGGATACCTACGGCTGGCCACATTTTACCCAATTTACTGGCTGGTATACACTAATTTTCCAACAAATTCAGTCTTTGCAAGCTGCAGTCAGTCTGATTTTAATGTTAATGTTCATTGAAAAGGTTGAGCGGATGTAACTGTTTTACATTTGCAATATTAAATATGTGCCAATTTATTTTGAGGCTTGAACCCCAAACGTTTACAATTTATAGCTGGTGATTTTAATGCAGTTTATACTTTTAATTCTGTAATGTTTAGTTCTTAATATTATATCTGTCACGGTCAGGTAGCGTCAGTTACTTTCTGTCAGCTCCTCCGCCTAGAGGAATCGCTTTGCACATCTGCCTCTTCTGGTTCTAGTCCACATATTTTCATCGTCCTTATTCATTCAATTCTGCTACTGATTCATTTTACCCAACCTGCGCTATCTTCTGTCAGCATACTCAAACCTTTCTGTCCTAATGTTTGTCATCTTTTTCTCCACTCTCACTACACTTTCATCCCACTTTCTTGCTTGTTATTCACTCCTCTATCTTCAAAGGTATTCTCTCAAATCTACCTCTTCAATTTCTTCATTCATATCCCAAACCACCTACTCCCTGCATCTATACCCTCAATCGCTTTATACAGTGCTGGAGATGTTTGTTACATGAAAATGGGTATAGAAGTGCAAGAAAAAGTGAACAAATGTATTTGAATATTAAGACTGTTTATAGGGGCATGATAAAGCTTAAACCTCTTTATTCAGTGCAATCTGTCTGCCTCTTTTTCCTCCCTTATCCATTTTTGACTTTGGGTTTGATCATCTGCCATAATATCTTCTGTAGTTTAACTCCAAATACTTTCCACTCCTTTGAAGCTTACTTTATTAAAGATGCTGTATTATAAATATTCATAATAAATTGTCATTTGGCTATAAAAGTATTTCAAGGTATAGTCAGTCTTTTTATGTTTGTTTTTAGCCTGAAATTCTCATTTGAAAATTAGTGTCTTCGCATTACTGAAAAGGACATCCTTCTAATAACACAAGCAGAAATGTGGTAAGATTTATTTTTTCTGCATGGCAGTTGAGATTTGGGATTCAGCAATTCTTAAAGTAGATGAGTAATTGAATCTTAACATAATTTGCTGAGTCACAATGGAGTCAAGCATTTCTTTTTAGCTGTGCCATTATATTGATGTATATCAGTGATTATTCTGTTCCAAGTCAGTGGCCAGTATACATAGTTATAAGAATTTAATCCTTTATTCATCTCCTTAGCAGTGTTTTTAATTGAATCTTATTAAAAATCCTCCCACAAAGGCATGCTTGTATTGTTTTGCTTGCAAGCTTGTAAGAAATGGAGGTATAGGAAGTGAATAGCTGCTTTTACAATGGACTATATTTCTATAAATAGTTCATCCTAAATGCATATTCGTACACTTGCAGAAGCTGGGAAAGTTAAGATGAATGTTCTAATTTTACAGGCGTGGATGTAACAGCAGAGTCATTATCTTCATCAACGTGCCCTGAAAGTTTACTCCTTATTTTGAAAATGGTATTCATGCAGAAGAGCATGATGTATGGAGAAAACCAGCTTCAATGTTGCTATGCCTGCTCAAGAACTAAAGGGTGGAGGATGGCCGATGATGTGGTAATATCAGTGGACTAGTGATCCAGAGGTCCAGACTATTGGGAATGACAGAGCGACTGGTAGAAGCAAATTTGATTAATAAAGTCTAGGATTAATAGCAGGTCTCAGAATTATGACTGTGACAACTATCATTGATCTTTATTTTTTAAAAAAAGTCCAATTCACCTGTGTCCTTCAGGAAGGAAGTCCTCCATTTTTAACTGGACTGGCCTACATGCAACTCCAGAATCACAGTAATGACATCGACTGTCCTCTGAAATAGTGTGGCGAGTCACTCGGTTCAACGCATATTATCTGTGAAATTTTGTTTTCATTTAAAAAATTTCTGGAAATTTATATTTTTTGTATTTTGATGTGTACAGCTTAGACATTGGATTTTGGAAGAATAATGGATCATTAAAGCTAGAATTTGTGGTTCTACCTGAAATAATGCACTTTCCTTTTGGCTCCGTTTTATCTATTGTATCTACTTGTTCAAAATAAAGAATTTACTGCAAACATTTTTCTTAGTGGTGTAGTAATCATTCTTGTAAACATCTTTAAAATTCAATATTTTAGAAACTGGTACCTGAAGCATACAAATAAGCTTTTTAATATCAATTTTTACATAATACTTTTGCGATGTAATGTCTATAAAGAAATGTTAAGGCACTTAAAAATAAAATGTCACAATAGGCCTTTCAACTCTGAATCATAGGAATCTGTATTTCTCATTTTCTGCTTTGGTTTGTTTGAATGTTGTGGGTCTGTAGGTTTGGAAATTATTGTTGTCTCATTGGATAAATCCTAAATCTATTAACATAAATCCATACATCTATTCCTATCAGCAACTTGAGATGGATATAAATTACTGGAAACATACACAAGTGCTAGAACAAGATTAAGAAACTAGAGCTCAAACATGACTGCTGTAAGGCAAGAAGGTAAATCTAAGAGTGTCAATTCCTTGACAGAAAACTATTGTTAATGATTTTGTTTAATCTTTTTCCAGACAGTAGGCAGCGATGTTCTTGCTGATCCTGCTGCATTAGTAGAAAGTAATTTAAAATATAGCTTGCAAGAGAAAGTCAGAATAAAGTATTGTAATTTTTCTGAAATCACACAGTAGGCCCAGTCTAATCCAGAACTAGGAATTTTACAATTTTGTGAAATAGGATATAAATAGATTAGCCAAACTAGGTGCACCACAAGGTGTCATGTTTTATTACTGTTCAAGATTAATTCCAGCAACCACAGTACTTTGGTTTTGATAAAGTACTTGGTAGTCATCTGTAAATGACTATATATGTCATTGTGTCCATTACTGAACTACTCTATGTCATTGGAATGTGGAAGCAAACTTAGACTAGCCATACGGACTTTAATTCTTTAATGGCAAGAAAATTATAGTTTGAGAGAAGAAAGAAATGTGTTTAGTTAGCTTTTGGTAAAAGCTTAAATAGATGGTTAAATTTGAAAAATTCACCTAATTTGTAATCGAGTTACACTTTTTTTGAATTTTATTAGAATATACAACCTAAAATGGTGTGTATTAGTATAAACAAACAGGACCTAAGGATTGTGCTAAATTCAGGCCATATTTAAAGATAAAATTTTTTCACCTCCCTGTTTTCATGAATCAGCAATCAGACGTTTTCAGTTTTTAATGTGGTATTCAATGATATCATAAAGGAATCAAAACTATAGCATAGATGGTAAGAACTGCAGATGCTGGAGAATCTGAGATAACCAGGTGTAAAGCTGGATGAACACAGCAGGCCAAGCAGCATCAGAGGAGCAGGAAGTCTGACGTTTCGGGCCTAGACCCTTCCT